TTAAAATTGTATATTAGATCTAGTAAAAAGTAACCCATTACTTATGTAATCGATAGCCTCTCTCGCGTTCTATAAGAGCGATTAGCTTACGCTAGATGGCGCTGGAAAGTTTCTGTTGGTACATTCCCTTGTGATAGCGAGGTAGAGAATAAAGCTCAAAATTTAAAAAATGTGATCCAAGTAGAGGACGCATGACTGGCTTTATCTGGTTACATTAGGGCTTCATATAGAGGTTGCTAAAATCTACTGTGGAAATCTAGGCTGTTGAACAGATTAGGCGACAAACAATGGAGTCGAGTACCTAATAGATCTGCATGAAATGTAACAACTTTTTGAAAAAGCTAAACTATTGGCTGTTAAGATTTGCAACCAATTACCCACTTTTAAAGTTCATGCCGGGACTTTTTATACATTTTTAAAAACCGAGTTGTAGCAGAAAGATATTTGAAACAATAAATTTTTATAACCCAGAATTTTCTCGAGCTGAATTCGTATTTGGGTTTCATTTTTAAAAAATAATTTTGATATGAAGCCATTATGATTATTTTTTCAACTTTTGTCTTTCATTGTATTCACTCTTATCAAATCTCACCTTAACTGCATTGTTGGTGGATTCACTCAGTTGGTTGCGTAGCGCAGCTCTACCAGCAGATTCAATTGACGCTTTACTAAATTTCAAAAATCTCAAAACACGAAAAGCTCTCCTCCCAAATGTATACAAATATTTTACATTTAAGCTCATATAATATTATACAAACATACATATATACACACATATATGCATACATACATACATACATACAAGGGTATACTTAACTAACTTTATTATGCAAAATCTTTAACGCAATAAGCGTATTTGCCCAAAATATTAAAGAAAATTTGCCCAGCCTTTTCTGTGATGTTGAAATACTTCAAAATTTACAACACAAACAACAAGAACAACTTTCCGACAAAGTAAATATACATAAAATTTAGAAAATTTAGCACCATTCAAGCGAAGGTGTTGAGTAGATTACGGACATAAAGTTTGAGTGGGGAATAAACCAAAAAACCAGAATATGAGTTGGTTACAGAAGCGTTGAAAAATTATGCCACATTGGAGAAGGGGTACCTCTAAGCAACTCCGCTTATTACTTTTTTCCAAAAAAAAAAAAAAAAAAATTGTTGAAATTTTCATGACCGAGAATGGACGATTGCATGTACACCACATATTTATATACTTATATCTATGTACATACTGAGTCTACATTTTTACCATGTAATAGTAAATTTTGTATACTTTGCAGTGCTGGATACATGTATTTCCTGCTCATGAGACGTCTAATAAAGTGCAAAGAAAAAGTCTAGCCTATCAATCGCTGAAGAGATTTCTGGCCGAGCTTCTCCCTCAATTTGTAGATTGTACCCTGATGGTTATTCATTCTTTTCTTTTTAAATCAGAAATTCACACGGAGGGGTTGAGACTCCCCTTCGAAGATTTATTTCCATGCAGATTTTCAGGATGAGTTTCGGTTGATGTCATCTGCTGAGGCTCTCAGTAAATTAAAAGTCGTTGGCTGTACGGTATGCAGTGTCGCCGTGTGAGGACCCAAGGAGGTCCTCTTACACATCGTCCATTTCAGGCACGAAAAAGTCATTAACCATGGCTTTATAGCATTCTCTATTGGCTACAACACTACGACCGACCTCATTTCTGAAGAAATGTAAATCAGTAATTCCCTCTGCTCATAGAGCCTAACAAACCGTAACCTTTTGAGTATGAAACGCCGTATCAACAATGCTTTGGGGATTACAATTACAAAAAATGTGATTATTTTTTTCATAAATGTACCCATTTAACCGAAAACGAGCTTCAACGGCGAAAAAAAAAATAAAAAATAAAAAATGTCTCATGAAAATCGGGTTATGGTTTTGGTGCCATTCACCAAACGTGCGATGCGCTTGATGGTTGTTCGATTTTTATTCTTGCACGAGTTTGATTTCGTAAGCCCAAAAATAAAGAACCTTCTGCAGAATCTTCCAGCCAACCGAATTGAGTATAAATCAAGTAGCAGCTGTCAAAAAAGGCAAAATCCGAAAATAGTATTACCTCATTGAAAACAATTTCAAACCAATTGGCAACTCTGCTGATTTATAAATATATATATAAGATAATTGAAGAAGTATAATGATTTTTGGTATAGTAATCATATTAAATACGTACTCTGCCAAAATGCTATTAATGTAAGGTCAATTATCACTTCGCCTCTATTTCTCTCCCTAATCCATCGAGTTCGATCAGTGGATTATTAAATAAAAGACACCAAATTTGTTTCACAATTGAGTTTATTATTTAGGTCGACTTATTTTACAACTTTCACGTTGTACTATTTTCACTTTGAACCTATATTGTTACCAGCGAGTTTTCTTTTCAGCTGGACTGCGTTATGATAGCCGCTTTCTTATATACCTCCCCGAGGGATCGTACTCAGCTCTGAATATTTCTGGCGTTTTCTTATAAAATACAGAATTTGCGATATTTGCGCTTTAAAATATACTTACACTTTTCTCTCTTTTCATCTTATAATTTTTAAGTATTGCTAACTACATACAAAGATACATAAATAGACGTGTATAATATATAGGGAAAACTTGGCAGGAAATTATTTTTTAATCTAATCTGAATAAAAAAAAGGTTCGTTAATTAGTTTATGAAGAAAATTATTATTATATATTTATACATATACATATGTATAAGTGACAATAAAAGCCTTTGTGTACTTTTCTATAGACATTTCGTAAGCACAATACATTTCTAAAGGCACGCAATGGCTTTTTTATGTACTTTTGTGTGCCATTCAGTAGCATACAAACCCTTGCATTACACACACACACACATACGCCGAAAAATAGACTTCCATTATCTACATTATCAGCCATTGATTGTGCCTCAAATGTGAAACATAGTACTTTTCCGTTTTATATTTTTATATTTTTGTTTCTATTTTTTTTTTGTCTTTTCTTTGTTGTTTTATTTTTTCAATTTTTTAACCCAAATTATTGCATCATAAAAGTGTCCTTTAGCCGCCATAAAATATCCTATTATCTATCCCACAAAGAATTTGTAGTTTATTGCTTAGATAATCAACGGTGTTGGAGTAGGAATCAAACGCATACAGAGACATGTTAATATATACCCTGCAGGGAATATTACTGGGTTGTTAACTAGAATCCAACTGATTTGCAGTTTTATGCTAACTACCATGCCTACCATCTTCTTCCATGTTTTCAACACGGGGATGTCCTACGAACTGTCAATCGTCAGTCTACGCATCAGCTTCGTGCTAGCTAAATACCAGTTTATTCATATCAATGAAATTACTGGTAGATTCAGGTAGATTTCAGCATGGTTTTGGAAGATGGAGAGATGGAGATCGACTTATTTGAAACAAATTAACTTTTCTGGTTCACTTAATTTGAAATTTGCTAAATTATTTCTTTCCAAGAAGTGGGTCAAATGTCGATCCATGTATTTAAAGCTTAATTAGGACTATTTTGCAATTGAACAACATACAAAAATCGACAAATAAACGTGGTTGTTGTTGTTGATTTGTAGCGGCAAGTCTAATAAGGTGTGTTCTGAACTTCTATTTATTTGTGGGTGCAGCTTTATTTTTCAAAACTGCAAATGGGTATCAGTTTTTCTGCAATATACTGTCAATATTTGTAGACTATAATTATACTAGTATCTTTCGTTAAAACCTGAACCAAACTGGTATATTTTTGTCTTTTAAATACTAGTATAATTCTTCTCCATAGAAAACTGGTATCTTTCTGACCTTTAAATACTAGTATAATTCTTTTCTATGACAAACTGGTATCTCTCTGACTTTTAAATAATAGTATAAATCTAGTCTATGACAAACTGGTATCTCTCTGACCTTTAAATACTAGTATAAATTTAGTTTATCGCAATTTAGCATACATTTGGCCTTTAAATAGCAATATTTAACTAGAACTTTTTCATACTAGTCTACCTTTTCCCTTCAGGGTATATACGAATGTGTATGCATGACTGTCGTATAACAGTAACTGTGTTATTTGAGAATTTCTGCTCTTATCTAGATATTGGTGTCATTAACCGTGCTCATACGGAACTCAACGGCGCCTCTTCTTCGTAGGTTTAGGTGAGTGAATGGAGCTGTTTTTAATGTATATTTGAACTTGGATATGTAGGTAAATGTAGGTATGTACATAGGTGAGCGTTCTCATCACTGGTGTGTTGGTGTTTGGCAAATAGAGTAGCGGATACAAAAATCAGGCAAATGTGTCTTATAAAAAACAAACCAAAAGAGAACTCAAGCCAAGAGAACAAAAGAAAATGCTTAACAAAAGTACACATGAATTGTATGTTAAAGTGAATTTAATACTAAAGAAGAAAATGCGAACAAGTGTATGGCCACAGTCACACCTCACACCTACACACTCAAGCACGCCGATGGTTGAGCGCACTGCCTGCCACTCATAAACTCTCTGCTTTTACTCGCACTTTGATTGGCAGCAAAAATTCAGCACAAAGTTTATAGTATTTTTATGATCACCTGAGCGACGCACATGCCCATTTTATGTATGTAATACAATACATATGTACATATATTTTGAAGGAATTTAATTAAAATGATGCACCTGTGGAATGCGCTGTGAAAATATACTACACGTGTCTGTCTATCTGTGTGTGTATGTGTGTGTGTGTGTGCATTTTAAAATGGAAGGAGAAACATTCAAAATAAAATACAAAACACGTAAAATAAAAGCTTACATACATACATATGTAAGGGCACAGCAGCCAACACCATAGCCCACTCAGTTTTCAACGTTTTCCATCACATTTTTCAATTACTTGCAATTTTAAAAGCGTGCAAAAATTCAATTTCTTATATTTAATAATTTTTTTCACTTTTTTTCTACTCTTTTCGCGCATTGCTTATTCATTCGCTCACTTTTGCTCACCTTTCTTGCAGATGGTCGCCACAGATGAGACGCCATCCACACAGAATCAACCCGACACAGGCGGTACTTTTGGCAAGTTGAAACAGACACTGTCATCGTCTTTGCTGACAGCTCAGGATAGAGGTGAGTGGAATGCCATCGAGTTGCTTAAGAAATGGGAGATAAAAGTGTATATATATATATATATATGCATATGTTGAGAATAGGAAGTGGAATAAATGAATATTAAAATTATGAAAGAAAATTCGGGGGTGTTGTACATATGTATGTGTGATTACATAAATGGCTGTGGCAATGTAGAGTATGCAAAAAGCTAATAAATCAATTGGAGCTGCAATAAATTGGAAAATATATAAGTAAATATATGCGAGAACAGTTGATGCGTATACCAAAAACTTTGTCATACACCGTGAAATCATGACTTTTATAATAAAAAATACAATTTTAAAGTCCTCCCTTCTGAATTTTAGAGTGATTTAAAAAAAATCAATGATTTTCTTTGCTAACTTTTTTTTCTTGAAAATCATTTGATTTTATAAATTAAAAGAAAAATAAAAGATTTATTTCAAAAAATATTGGATTCTCTTGTTCCATTAGCCGATCTTCAGATGGGCCTCCAGGAAAAGTTGTCTGGCGGTGAGGAGACATTTCTGCTTCAAATTATTTGAATCCCGAGAACCATACAAATTTACTATTTTGATGGACGAATAAAGGCAGTGATCGAAAGAAAAGTGAAACTTTTGATTTTTGACAAAATGCAAATGCATCAAAGAAAAAAACATTTTTTTTTTTTTTTTGTGTGAAATTCTACACTCCGAAGTGACTTAAAAATCGAAATTATTGTCAAAAATTATATTCCTGCAATCATTACCTAACAAATATGTCTTAGAAGGTCGCGGGAAACTTTTAAGTCGATCAGCTTAGCCATTACAGAGACTTTTTCCCTACCGACTCTGAAAACAGAACGTGTTTTGAGAAAAACGCATTAAAAAATTTTCGAACCTCAACTTATGAAGGTGAGTGGTAGTGAAAGTGCAACACCAGGAAATGGCGAACCCGATTCCCCAGTCGATGGGAGGCCCGACTATGAAGTAATGCAAATTTATATCGGTATATACAATTGGCACTTAGTAACCGCTGAAGCGACTTTCCGTGGAGCGCCTAATCCAATTTTTGATTTGGAGAGACGTACAATTTAAACAAAGCCGCCTCCGAATGCCTGATAGATTGTTTATGAGGAGCTTTTATTCAGAATTCGGATGAACAACTGAAGCCTATGTCTATCGGCTTCCCCGAGAGACATTATCTAGCACAAAAAGCTCCCTCAGGAAAGTCTTCTCCGAGCCGTTCGTTGCCAAACGAGATTTCAGACAAGATAATTTTTTATAGTGTGACTGCTTTGAACTATTGCTGGATGAAATAATATGAACTGCAGAGTTAAATAGAGAAGGTACAATGTTCTAAGCGGGTGGCGTAAACCGATGATATTCACATCATCAACAACCGCTACGTTAGTTCTCCTTTTTCCAAACTCGATAAAGAAGCGAAGCGAATGGGTCTGGTAGTGAACGAGGACAAGACGAAATATCTTCTCTCGTCAAACAAACAATCATCGCGTTCGCGCCTCAGGTCCCACGTCACCGTTGACTGTCATAAATTTGGAGTCGTAGATAACTTCATCTCTCTAGGGACCAGCATTAACACCAACCACAATGTCAGCTTAGAAATCCAACGCAGAATCACTCTCGCCAACAGGTGCTACTTTGGACTGAGAAGGTAAATGAAAACTAAGGTCCTCTCTCGACGAACGAAGACCAAACTCTACACGTTCCCGTCCTGGAATATGGTGCGGAAGCATGGGCGAAGACAGTATCCGATGAAACGGCGTAGTAGTTTTCGAGAGGAAGGTTTTACGTAAGATTTATGGTCCTTTGCGCATCGGCAACGGCAAATATCGCAGACGATGGAACGATGAGCTGTACGAGCTGTGCGATGATATTGATATAGTTCAGCTAATGAAGAGCTAGCGACTAAGCTGGCTTTGAAAGTATTCGATGCAGTACTCGTTGGTGGAAGCAGAAGAAAAGGAAGACCTCCACTGTGTTGGAAGGAACAGGTGGAGAGTGACCTGGCTTCACTTGGTATTTCCAAATGGTAAACAGCGTAAAAAAGGGGTGAATGCGGCGCTAATACTGATTCGGGTATAATCGTGTAAGCGATGCCTACGCAAATAAAGAAGAAGAAGAAAGAAGAAGCAGAAGAACAGTTAGTATGATTACCAACCAATCCGCATTTATTGATTTTATTTTCAAAAAAAAAAAAAAAAAAATTGCCGAAATTCTTAATTTTCGGATTTCTAGTGAGAGTCCTTAGGGATATTTAAGCAAAAGCTTCCAAAAAAACGAGATAATTTTTAGTTATGAATTTAAGCATTTATTTAAAAAGATTTAAAATTTTTTCCTTACACCTTTGCCTGCGCTTCCCGTTTTAGCAAAAAAAAAAAATTATTGAAAAACTCTCAAAACCTCAGGAAAATAATTGTCATGTCCACAAGGTCCCACTTCAAATGGAAAAAAACAGCCAATTCAAGTTAAAACTTTTTCCATTTCTTCTCTTCACTTACAGAAACCATATACGTTTTTACTTTGTACTTGCATATACATAGATACATACATACATACATACATACATATACATGGACATGCAGTAATTGAAAAGACTTCTACGCACCATTTGCATGCTTCGCCTTTAGCTTTGCGCTCACTATGCATGTTTGTATGTGTGCTTGTGTGAGGAGTGTAGATGTTTACCGTTATTTCTTTCATAGAATGGTTTTGAAATTAAATTACAGTAACAACTTTAATGACATCGATTTGTGACACTTTGCAAACAAAGACTTGACAAAGTTGTAACAATCAACGGCGGAGAGAGAGAGAAACATGGAGGGATTGCCAACAGCCGCCGCAGAAAAAAAGGGCGGAAGTGAGAGTGGGAGTGCCGTAAACGGTATTTGCATTGAAAACATTTTCAACACTTAAACCATTAGCATTGGCTTTTCTCAAGCACACATATACACCACAACACGCATACACACACACACATACACATACACACTGGCATTGGCATAACAAAGTTGCAACATGAAAACTAATTGTCGAGTATACATACAATAACATTGTATGTACCGTTATTAACAGCAACAGTTACAAAGAGTTCAGCATTGAGCAATTACACCTTCATGTGCAACAACAATGAACAATGCTTTTGTCTTTAATTAATGCAATGCAAGAAGCGAAGCAGCAACAACTCACTTTTCAAACTCTGTTGGGAATTAATTAAAAAGTGATCTCATTAGTTGTTTTTTTTTTGCTCCTCGTGAATGAAGGAAAGAGCACTCATTTGCTGTGAAGGGTAAACAGAGAATTCGAAAAAGGATGGAAATATTTTTTTGCAACTCTATGCTATGGGCATAGCAGAGCTTCAACTTGGAACCCAACATTTTTTTTAACTGCCTTCAAATATTTCTACGTTTTTTTCTTAGTAATTCCACTTTACAGTGGAGGGTGGGAATATTGGAACACAAATTTTCATATAAAATAAAACGAATTCCCTGTAAAAATCTACAAATCTTCGATTCAACGCGTCCATTATCGTGGAAAATCGGTACACATCGCCTTTTAAACTACCGTGTCAGCCAAGTTTCTGCTCCATTTTGTGATATGTGATAATCAAAAATATCTTAACAAATATTTTCTTCTTTACTGGCGTAGATACCGAACCGAAAATAGCGCTTCGTTCATTCCTGCTCCACATGGTCATCCTCACAGAGTAGAGGCCTTCACCTTACCTTGCTTCTTCTGATTTGTGCTGCATCGAAATCATTCAAAGCTGGAAATGACTTTGCCTTCATAGCCGTTGTCTCTTGGTTCGCCAAAATATGCCCAGAACAACAAACATAAGACTTCACTCTCGAAAACTCCTGGGACGTGCGCAGCAGCATTTAATAACTTAAACTGAATGAACCTGAATCTTGGTCGAGGAAGGATCAACCCCTGAAGTGATTTTCGGCCAAACTCCTCATCCAAGTTGTGGTATGTGCCTAAGCGTCTGGTGTTTTTCCGACAAATGGAGGGACCTGCAGTTTATACTAAGCCACCACCGAACAACCGATAGTGGAGCTTTTATTTCATGTCAAAAATACATTCGGTAGCTTGGCATTCCCTGCCGAGGATTGACCGCAGCTAGAAAAATTAATTTTCTATAATTTTGAATGTAAGTCGAACCAGGATTCGAACCCTGGACTTTCGAAGGTCAGTACGCAGTGGTAGCCATTCGGCTATACACATTAATACCAAAGGACCATCCACGTAGTAATACTGACTGCATCTTGGCATAGAGCGACTCCCATGCCAAGACTTTGAAGCAGGTAGCTGCGTCCATCTAGGAGCCAATACCAATGCATAAACCTCTTATCAATTATTGCTACTTATAACTGTATAGGCAATCAATGGAGAGGTAAGCTCCCCTCTCGCTGAGCAAAGACAAAGCGCCAACATTCCCGACTCCCAATCCTATGTAGAAGCGTCTACAATGGATTTAACAGTTTTCGAGAAAAAATGTAGTGGAAGAGGTTTGGTGCCATGTCTATGGTCGAAGATGTTGCAACGATGAACTTCATGAGTTAGACGGTGACACAGGCATTATTCAGCGAATCAAGGGACACCGATTACGATAGCTAGGACATGTTGCCCGTTTGGGAGAAATTTCGTCCGCATTCAAAGTATTTAATGCCGTAACCACCGGGCGAAGAAGTGCAAGACCGAATTTTATACTCCATTGGACACAGCAAGTGGATAAAGGCGCAACTTAACGTTCAATTGGCAACAAAGAGCGAAGAGATTAATTTGGTTATAGTCGTGTGAGCGGTGTACTTCCATCACGAAATCTAGCGTAGAGAATAAAATTCCCTCCAGAAGAAAAACGGACTCTCGAAGTCGCTCATAACGTCTGCATAGAAAACTCAGCACTAAGAACTTTTACAAAAAATATTTGCGAAGGCAAAACTCACTGGCGATGAATCGATGAACCGCTGAAGCTATTTTCGGCCGAGCCTCTTCTTTAAT